TTGGTCATGGGGCTTGAACTCTGGGCCTGAGTGTTGTCCCTGAGCTCTTCAGCTCAAGGCAAATGCTCTACCATTTGAGCCACAGCTCCTCTTCCAGCTATATAAATTATTATGAAATTATAGCATCTATTTTTCTGTTGCTGCTAGACAGAAATACAACTTTTATATTGACCTGGAACTCTATAATTTTACTAAATTGTAATTTAAGTTGATGTTTTAAATAAGTTTTTGTCTTATTTTTCAATCTGGATACCTTTTATGTCTTTTTAAGCCCCTTGCTATGGCCACCATCTCCAGAATAATGCTGAATAGAGATGGTGAGAATCTATAAGTTTCTGTTTGTGATTTTAGAAGAAACCACTTAGTGTTTCGGTACCAAGCATGATGTCAGCTGTAGAGTTTTCTTTTCAGGTTGAGTAGGCTTTCTTCTATTCCTAAATTTTTTCTTACTCTCCAGCTGAAAAATAATTATCTCTTTCCAGAGGAAAAAAATACATTTTACAATGTCAACATTCGTAAAAGTGATCCTAAAACCATTTCTGACATTCAGCAAAATTTAAATGCTATAGGAATCCACCTTACAGATGATGAAACACAGAAGGTTTTGGATAATACTAATCCTAATGGTGAGTAATAATTGTATTTTATGCAAAGTTTTAAGTTTTTCAGAAGCTTCACCTTAAATGCCTAAAGCAGCCATCTCCCAGTCTCCTTGTCTAAAGAAAAATTGAAATCATTTTTTATTTCATTTCTAATGGATATACTTTGTATCAAAGGAACTTATTTTTGGAAAAATCTTTCTGGTAGCTTTTATTTTTACATTTAGTTCACACATCGCATATGTACAAGGTAATTGTCATTCTTCCATTATTCTGCTTTATATTTTTGTTTTATAATATCAATTTTGTAATATCAAATGTTTTTTTAAAAAAAGAATATCTAATTTTTTTTTAAGATGAAGTGGTGTCTTTTAAGGATGTCATCAGAGAACTGGCCAACACTGATGACTTTGTGGAGTGTCAAAGTAAGTATGAAATTTGAAATAAATGTAATTACAAACTTCATGTTTTGGATTGGGGTGTTTGTGTGTGTGTGTGTGTGTGTGTGTGTGTGTGTGTGTGTGTGTATTTGTAGAAGTCATTCAAGGCCTCTTTTTCATTCTTTCATTTTAAACATAGTAGAAATATATACATTTTTTCCTTTTTTTATTGTGAAAATACTGTACAGAGGGGTTACAATTACATGGACAAGATAATGAGTACATTTCTTATCAAGCATTGTAGCCTCCTCCTTTGTTTCCCCTTCCCATCCCTTCCCAACCTCCCCCTGCCCCCCAAAATATATACATTTTTAAACCCATTTTTCAAATTTCTGAAACATGAATTTATTTTTCCTAATCTTCTTGAATTACTTTTAAAACCTGGGATATATCTCTATTCATTTCTTTTTCTTTTGTATTTTATGGTCTTCTTATCAGTCTTATCAGAGGATTATCTATCTTATTATCACAATTCTCTGTTCTTCCTTTCTTTGATCAACTGCAATGATTTTTGCTCCTTTCTATTTTTATATGTTTATTTATTCTAATTTATTTGGGTTTAGTCTCTTACTCTTGGCCAGTAATTTTAAATGATTAACTGAGTTTTTTTCAGTCTGTTTTGACATTTCAGCAAAAAGGACAGTAAATCAACCCAGGTTGAGGATTAGAGTTGTAAGACTGGGTATTTAAAATAGATGCTAAAAGTAAGCACATTACAAATGAATCTGTAATTTGAATGTGTTTACAATCAATATCTCAGGAAATTTTTGATGCGAACCTTTACATGTAATTTTGGTATTTATTCCAAAGACTACTAGAGTATATATAGCAAAGAGAACCATTATAGGGCTGGGCACTGGTGGCTCACACTTGTAATTCTAGCTACTCAGGAGTCTGAGATATGAGGCTCAAGGTTTGAAGCCAGCCAGGCCAGGAAACTGTGAGATTCTAATCTCCAATTATTTATGAAAAAGTCATATTGGTCCTGTTGCTCAAGTGGTAGAGCACTAGTCTTGAACAAAAGGAGCTTAGGGATATCACCCAGGCCTAGAGTTCAAGGTCCAGGACCAGCAGAAAAAAATTTTAATTAAAAAAAAAGAACAACTATTATGGGGAATGTGCCTGATCAGATATAAGATCACTTTATAACACTATTTCAAAGTATTACAAACTAACCAATTCATGACAGTATAACACCTGTACAAACTTAAAGAAAGGAGTTGCTGAAATGGAATACACACAACCAAAAGAAATTATTTATTTTACCAAAAGTTAAATAATTCCAAGACTAATAAAACAGATAACTCTGTTTCAGGATTCATTGACACCTTATGTTGTTCTTCATAGTTAAAGGGTTACCCTGAATTAGAGGGAAAAATTGAGACAACATAAATAAGATAGTAATCATGATGTGTACAGTGAGTGAATTTTTAACTGAGAGCCAGGTATGGTGGTATATACCTGTAATCACAGCTACTCAGGAAGTGGAGATAGAAGGATCTCTGTTTGAGGCCAGCTAAAGCAAAAGCATGAGACCCAATCCAGAAAACAAAAACAAAACAAAAAAAAGGACTGGGGTATGGTTCAGGCAGTAGAATGTTTACTTAGGAAGTTGGAGACACTGAGTTCAAACCTTAGTACAGACCCAAAATTGTCAGAGATTAATATTTATAATTAAGTTAATGAAACATCTGTTTACTAGCCTATCATCAAGAGCATTGAAATTCTTGCCAAACATTTGGAGAGGGAGAGTTAGGGACACCTTTTTAATTTAAAAAGGAATTTTAAATATTGTGGCATATTTTCTTTAGGGACTATTGTGGTCTTAGTTATTTTGTTTCTTGTAATTCATATTCTAGAAAATTAAGAAAGTTGAGGGAAGGGTTGGAGTTGGGAAGGATGGCAGAAAATGACGAAAGGGTCATGATTCATTGTAATCATATACTGTTTTCTCAAATGACAACTCAGTTGTACAACTACTTAAAATAAAAATTAAGGTAAAATGTTTTAATGTTTCATATCTCTAAGCATTAAAATAAGGATTTTGTGAAGCTTTCAGCATAGAGGATTTTTCAAAGCAACAGAAAAAGATAAGCTATTCTAGAAAATGAATACATTTCCTTTATTCTAGTTGTTATGAGCTTATTTACATAGACTAACCATCAATATATGTTCATAGGAATAGAAGATGCATGGCTTGTTGTTAATACTGTCTCTGATGGAAAAGCTGAAGTTAAAGAACTTTTATCCACCTTGAAGAACCTGGAAAACCCTTTAAATGAAGACCAGCTAGGGGTGTCACTGAACTCTGCAGCAGATGGTGAATACTTGCTATTTCTCAAATTATTTCATTTTTTTTGTGGACCATGATCATATAGGCTAATTTTCTTTGTGTGTGTATGTTTATGTGTGCACATGTGTATATGCACATGTGTGTGTGTCCACAGTGGGGCTTGATTTCCTAAATATTTTTACTTACTTGGAGATTTTTAGTTTTTACATATTTTCTTTTGTACATATTTGTTTGTTGGCTATTTAATCAATCTAATTTATTCATTGTGATTACACAAGTATAGGACAGTGCAACAGTATTAAGATAATACCAGGTCTCTACCTTAATGAGTTTTAAATTGCCTTTATGTATACATTTTTTATTAACTTTACAGAAAATAAGATCGTCTCAAAAGACATAATTGATAGTTTCACTGATTCATCTAAACCATCACCATTCAACAGTAAGTATAGTAAATGAATAAAAATTAAAACAACTTTCTAAGGTCTTTCTATGGTGGTTTTCCTTTTCTTAAATAGTTGGTTTCCCTTGTATTTTCAATTAGTTTTATCTTAATATTTACTTTCAATTCCTCAGTCTTAAATTTTCTTTGACTTTTTAATCTGCAATATTCAGCTTTCCTATGTCTTAAAATTTTAATTTATGCTTTAAGTCTAATGAATTATTTAGAGTTATATACCCCGAATACAACTCCTAACTTTGCTTAGTGTATGCTATACTTTACATGCTTTACTTTACAAGTACACAGTCCCCCATAATGACTCATACAATTTTCTCTTCTCTCTATTTATATCTACATGCTAATTTTTGCAACAAAAATTAAACATGATAATGTTAAAGAAAAAAATCTAGTGTACCTAAAACAAGTGGGTAGACTGGTAAGAGAGAAAGGCTCCCTAATGCTAAGACATTGTACTAGCCCAAGGTTTTTCAGTCTATGAATTGTAGATTTTTGTATGTCAGCAGAAGCCAAGTGCTTCTGTTTCTTGACCTCTTATTCAGAGTTTCCACCTAATTACTCAGGAAAAACTTTGCAGTCTAAAAATGAAGTATATAACAGAAAAGCAAAATTACATAGAATTATTCAGAAGCTTACCTTTTACCTCATTAGTAATTTGTTTGTTAACTGATTTCTTTTTTAAAGTTAAAATTTCTTGTAAAGGTGATATACAGAGGGGTTGCAGTTACATAAGTGAGGTAATGAGTACATTTCTTTTTGAATACTGTTACCTCCTCTTTCATTTTCTCCCACTTTTTTCTCCTCCCAACCCTGATCCCATCCCCAAGTTGTAAAGTCATTTCCAACATAGTATCTAGTGAATATCACTGTTAAATTGTTTCATCCTTTGTCCTATCATTTCTGTGGTTCTCCTTCCCTTCTCCAAATTAGATAAACTATATACAAGACAATGAGTGCAGAAATCAAAAACTGACAACAGGGAATAAACCAAAGGAAAAAGTAAGAAAAAAAGAAAACTACAAACAGTATTTTAAAAAAACCCTGTTTCAATTTTTTGGAGTTCATTTCAAAAAGCATCATTTTATGTGTTATATGCACATAGTTATTAAGCCATTGTGATCCTCTCCTAAGATTATCTTCCTTTGTTCTCAGTATGTGAATGCTTAGAGTGCTATTTAATTAATCATGTCCAAGTGTAATTATTTGTCTTTTACTATGCACAGACATATTCTAGTTATTACAAATGGTGAAAACCATGCAGCCTATATTTCTTTGTGTCTGGCTTACTTCACTTAATATATTTTTTTCCAAGTTTAACTGATTTCTAAAAATCTCAAAGTCTCAATCTAAAAATCTAAAAGTCTCAAGCTTGGAAGTAGCACTATGACTTAAAGTGGTAGAGTGCTGTACCTGAGCAAAAAAGTTGAGGAACAGTGTTCAGGCCCTGAGCCTCACAACTGAGAAGAAAAAAGTCTTAAAATGCTGGGAAGGTGGCTCAGTGGTAGAGGCTTGCCTTGCATGCATGAGGCCCTGGGTTCGATTCCTCAGCACCGTATAAGCAAAAAGAAAAAAAGCCGGAAGTGGCGCTGTGGCTCAAGTGGTAGAGTGCTAGCCTTGAACTGAAGAGCTGAGGGACAGCGCCCAGGCCCAGAGTTCAGGCCCTACAACCGGACCTCCTCCCCACCCCCCCCCAAAAAAAAAGACTTAAAATATTCCTGCCGTTTGCAGGTTGTAGGTATTTGGCTTAAAGAGGGCTTTGTTCCAACTCCATCATCTGTTCTTTTGAAATCATAGATTTAGTGAAGACTATAGCTCTTGATAATATCAGAAATAATGAGATGCCTATAAATAAACTGAACTACAAACTTTTGAGTTCTGATATTCCAGTAAGTGACAAGACATTCCAGGAGATCCTGAGAAAGGCTTCTATTGAAGGGAATTTTTTTTTTTTTTTTTGTCGCTCGTGGGGCCTGAACTGGGCCTGGGTGCTGTCCCTCAGCTTTTCAGCTCAAGGCTAGCACTCTATCACTTGAGCCACAGTGCTACTTCCAGCTTTTTCTGCTTATGTAGTACTGAGGAATTTGAACCCAGGGCTTCATGCATGCAAGGCAAGCACTCTACCACTGAGCCACCTTTCTAGCCCTGAAAGTAAATTCTTTTTTAAAAAAGAAATTTCTGTTGAGCTTAACCAAGCCCTACTTATATGTGTACTTGAATATCTGTTTCTGTTTTGACCAATAAACTTGTTTATTTTCAATTAATAAATGAAAAATTAGACACTTATAGTATATAAAATGATGATCTATATATACATACATATATATATATATATACACACACACACAATATTAAGTCAAGATAATTATGCCTCATCTTACATCCTTATAAATTTTGTGATAAAATTTAAAAAATATTCTAAGCAATTTTAAGTATGTATCATTATTAATGTAGCATTTTGCTGTAAATAGATCTCCAGAACTTATTCCTGCTGTCCACTGAAATGTTCTACCCCTTAACTAACACTGTTTCCCTGACCTCCACTACCCACTACACCAGTTCCTGATAATTACTGCTCCAAATCTAAAATTGTTCCACATAGAACTAAGATCATTAGTATTTGATCATTATATGCCTGACTTATTTTACTTCACACATTGTTCATCCATGCTCTTGAAAATGACAAAATTTCTATTTAATTTAACTTAATTTTTTTGTTGGTTATGGGGCTTGACCTCTGGGCCTGGGCTATTCAGCTCAAGGTAAGTGATCTACCACTTGAGCCATAGCACTACTTCTGGTTTTCTGAATGGTTTATTGGAAATAAGTGTCTCATAGACTTTCCTTCCCAGGCTGGCTTTGAACTATGATTCTTAGATCTCAGCCTCCTGAGTAGCTAGGATTACAGGCGTGAACCACTGACACACAGCAACAAAATTTCTTTTCAAAGGCCAAATACTATTTTAGTGTGTGTGTGTATGTGTGTGTGTGTGTGTGTGTGTGTGTGTGTGTGTGTGTGTAGGTATGTGAGTGTATTCATTGCATTGTATTGTCTATTCATCTATTGATGGACACTTAGGTTGATATAACATTTCAGCTACAATGAATATGCTGTAATGACCATGAAAGTGTAGATATCCTGATTTCTTTTTTAGTATTAAGAATTAGAATTACTAGATCACACAGTAGTTTTATTTTTCTATGTTGAGGAACTACATAGCATCTCCCATGATTTTATGGCTTCCATTAATAATACTTTGAGTACTCACTGTGAGTGTGGATGTTCCCTTCTCACCACTTCCTTGCTAACATATCATTTTTCTTTCTCATTGAGCTCATTCTTAGAGTTAAGAGACACACTGAGTGAGAAATACAATGAAAACAACAGCATATTGATACCTAAGTAGAATTTGTATTGTTTTCTTTTGAAAATGCTTTTTAGAGGCATCCTCTGTTTATTCGTATCACATATATACATGCTCACATGTAAATCAAACTACAATTTTTTGGGGGGGTCCGGTCATGGGGCCTGAACTCTGGGCCTGGGCGCTGTCCCTCAGCTCTTCAGCTCAAGGCGAGTGCTCTACCACTTGAGCCACAGCACCACTTCCGGCTTTTTGCTTATGTGGTGCTGAGGAATCGAACCCAGGGCCTCAGACATGCAAGGCAAGCGCTGGACCACTGAGCCAACTTCCCAGCCCTCAAACTACAATTTTTAAAGTCAAGTAACTGAATATAGTTACAGGTTATTTCTTGCATTGAAGGAAAGGACTTTGAATAAGATGATTTTTAACTAATTTAATTTTTTCTGCTACTTTTCAGAAATTACAAAATTTGCCCATCCTTATTCTTTATCATCGCTGTTTAATGATTATTAACTTTGGCACCTTGTCATTTTATAGTCTGTATGTTTTATTTTTTAGAAAATGATGAAGTAAGTCTCAAGCAAATTTTGGAGAATTTGGACAAAAGTAAGCCATCTTCTTCATTTGAAGGTGGGTTCACTTACATATATATATATACACACATATGTATATATGTATATACATATATATATATACTAGGATTTGAACTCAGGTCTTAGCACTTGCTAGGCAAGTATCCAAACTAGATATACTATATTAACATATACTATATAATATATAGCATATATTTTATAATATATACTATACTATATATACTATATTAATATATACTAAATACGGGGTTTTCATTATTAGACAGATGAGGTGACTACTTCAGTAAAAGATAGTTTTCTTCTAGAAAAAAGCTTTACCAGGTCTTTCAAAGTATTGGAAATTTCTATCAAGAAAATATCTTTATACGAAGTTATTGTCTACATTAGGCTTCTATTAAAGTGTCTTGTTATTAAATAGAGGGGCATGTTCCACCATATCAAGTTATATTATAAGCATGTTCAACCATATCAAGTGGAATATGGTGGAACATGCTTATAATCCTAGCACTTTGAAGGCTGAGGCAGAGAAATAATGAGTTTGACATTAAGATGAGGCACATAGGAAAACCCTAGCAACAAACAAAAATAAAATAGAGTTAGGTATATGAGAGTAAAACTCCCCACTAAATAAACATTAATTTCTGCTGGGCACGGCTGAGATCTGAGGATTGCGGTTCAAACCCAACCTTAGCAGGAAAGTCAGTGAAACATTTATCTCCAATAAACCACCAAAAAAACGGAAGTGGCACTGTAGCTCAAGTGGTAGAGCACTAGCCTTGAGCTGAGGGACAGCGTTCAGACCCAGTGTTCAAGCGACAGGACTGACAAAAAAACAACAACAAAACAACCCCAATAAAACAAAAACCCCAAAAAACAATAATTTCCAATTATTAGCCAAGATATATTATTCCTGTTTGCCTTATAATTGATCTTCAATTTTATAAGCAACAGTGAAAGCATACACACATTCATAGACATACACAAAAATAATTTATTTATATACATCAAGAAAGTACTTAATGTAAATTGCATCATGCTGAATCATCTTTTAATAGTGTCAAGTATTTATACTAATTTTTGAATGATAGCTTAAATTTGTTATTTCGAATTTGTATCTAAACCAAAATTTTTTCTTTTGATAGATGTACAGGAACTTTCAAAGGCCTTGAACAAAGTCAGTACTGGAAAAGTGGATGTAGCTGATGTGCAACCTGTAGGGAAGGGCCTGAAGACTCATGCTTCTGAGGGAGAAGTACAGAAGATAGTTTCTTCCATTTCTGTTGATAGTAAGTATTGTCTTTTCAGTTAGTTATTGTAACTAACAGAAAGCCATGTTTATTTTCACTTGTTGATTAGCTACTAGAATGATTGTCCTTTGTGAAGCTGAGAATTTGTTATAGGTTATAGTCATATTGAGGTCCAATGGAGGGATGATGGATGTCTGAATTGCCAACATGATTGGTTTGAGAAACAATTAAAATATTAGATGGAGGCACATGACTAGATGGGCCTGTGAATGGATATTAGTTTAAAGGTTAATATTTTAAATGCAATGGTTTTTTGTTGTCAGTTGTGAAGCTTGAACTCTGAGCTTGCTTGCTGTCACTGCCCTCTTCAGCGAGGCGAGTGCTCTACCACTTGAGCCACTGCACCACTTCTGGTTTTCTAGTGGTTTGTTGGAGATAAGAGTCCCACAGATGCTCCTGCAGGGGCTGGATTTGAACCATGATCCTTAGAGTAGGTAGGATTACAGGATTAAAACATTGGCATCCAGCCCCAGTGATATGTTTAACCCATTAAAGCATTCAAATTTTGAATAGACTATTAGGAGGCATTAGACCTGTGGAAGGTAGGACCTGGTTGGAGATTCTTGGTCCCTGGGACATATCCTTGGCAACTATATCTTGCCGGTTCGCTTCTTATTGCTGCTCCATGCTAATTATTGTGTGCCAGGATATAAAGACCAGAATGCAGGCAGAATATGGTCAATTAGGGTGAGGCTCTTGAAGTTTTAGTTAGCAATGAGGGACTCTGATGGGAGGTGGGTTGTGGTTATTCATGTTGCATGCTGGGAAATAATTTATTGATACTTTGTGTTCTGAGACTTTGTAGGCTTTAAAGAGAATAGACTGGGACTGGGAAGGTGGCTCAGTGGTAGACTGTTTGCCTTGCATGCATGAGACCCTGGGTTTGATTGGTCACACCACATAAAAAAAAGCAGGAAGTGGCACTGTGGCTCAAGTTGAAGAGTGCTAGCCTTGAGCTGAAGAGCTCGGGGATAGCGCCCAGACCCAGCGTTCAGGCCCCAGGACTTACCAAAAAAAAAAAAAGAAAGAGAGAAACAGAGAGCAGACTTCTGGGTGTCAGCAGCTCACTTCTGTAATCATAGCTACTCAGCAGGCTGAGATATGAGGATTGCAGTTCAAAGCCAGTCTGGGAAGAAAAGTCTGTAAAACTCTTATCTCTAATAAATCACCAGAAAACTGTAAGTAGCGCTGTAGCTCAAGTGGTAGACCACTAGCCTTCAGCTGAAGAGTTGAGGGACAGCGTTCAGGCCCAGAGTTCAAGCCCCATGACCAACAAAAAACAACAACAAGAACAAAAAAAACCTTTAATTTTCAATTATTAACCAAGATAAATTCTTCCTGTTTGCCTTATAATTGATCTTCTATTTTATAAGCAACAGTGCAAGTATACATACATTCATACACATACACATATGTAATTTATTTATACACATCAAGAAACTACTTAATGTAAATTACATCATGCTGAATCATTTTTTAATAGTGTCAAGTATTTATACTAATTTTTGAATGATAGCTTAAATTTGTTATTTAGAATTTGTATCTAAACCAAAGTTTTTTCTTTTGATAGATGTACAGGAACTTTCAAAGGCCTTGAAAAAATTCAGTACTGGAAAAGTGGATGTAGCTGATGTGCAACCTGTAGGGAAGGGCCTGAAGACTCATGCTTCTGAGGGAGAAGTACAGAAGATAGTTTCTTCCATTTCTGCTGATAGTAAGTATTATCTTTTGAGTCAGTTATTGTACATAAATCTGTGTTTATATTCCCTTCTTGATTAGCAACTAGAATGAGTGTCCTTTGTGAAGCTGAGAATTTGTTATAGGTTAAGGTCATATTGAGGTCCAATGGAGGGATGATGGAGGTATGAATTGCCAACTTGTTTGGTTTGAGAAACACTTACGATATTAGATGGAGGCACATGACTAGTTGAGCCTGTGAAGTGATAATAGTTTAAACGTTAATATTTTAAATCCAATGATTTTTTTGTCAGTTGTGGAGCTGGAACTCTGGGGTTGGGTGCTGCCCCTGCCCTCTTCAGCGAGGCGAGTGCTCTACCAATTGAGCCACTGTACCACTTCTGGTTTTCTAGTGGTTTGTTGGAGAGAAGAGTCCCACAGATGTTCCTGTGTGAGCTGGATTTAACCAGGATCCTTAGATATAAGCCTCCTGAGTAGCTAGGTTTATAGGCATAAGACACTGGCATAGAGCCCCAGTGAATTGTTTATCCCATTGAAGCATTCAAATTTTGAATAGACTATAGGAGGCCATAGAACTGTGGAAGGTAGGAACTGGTTGGAGATTATTGGTTCCTGCTACATATACTTGGCCACTATGTGTTGGGGGTTCGCATCATATTGCTACTCCATGCTAATTATTGTGTGCCATGATTTAAAGACCAGAATACTGGCAGAATATGGGCTGTTAGGGTGAGGCTCTTGAAGTTTTAGTTAGGAATGAGGGACTCTGTTGGGAGGTGAACTGTGGTTATTCATGTTGCATGCTGGGAAATAATTTACTGATATTTTGTGTTCTGAGACTTTGTAGAAGACTGGCTTTAAAGAGAATAGACTGGGGCTGGGAAGGTGGCTCAGTGGTAGACTGCTTGCCTTGCATGCATGAGGCCCTGGGTTTGATTGGTCAGTACCACATAAAAAAAAAGTGGGAAGTGACACTGTGGCTCAAGTGGAAGAGTGCTAGCCTTGAGCTGAAGAGCTCGGGGATAGCGCCCAGGCCCAGCGTTCAGGCCCAAGGACCTACAAAAAAAAAGAAAAGAGAGAGAGAGAAAGTAGACTTCTGGATGTGAGCAGCTCACTCCTGTAATCCTAGCTACTCAGCAGGCTGAGATCTGAGGATTGTGGTTGAAAGCCAGTGGGGGGCAGGAAAGTCTGTGAAACTCTTATCTCCAATAAACCACCAGAAAAATGGAAGTGGCACTGTAGCTCAAGTGGTAGAGCACTAGCCTTGAGCTGAAGAGCTGAAGAAAAGCGTTCAGGTGCAAAGTTCAAGCACCATGACCAACAACAACAACAAAAAAACCCCCAAGAAACAAAAAACCTATAATTTTCAATTATTAGCCAAGATATATTCTTCCTGTTTGCCTTATAATTGATCCTCTATTTTATAAGCAACAGTGAAAGTTTACATACATTCATACACATACACATATATAATTTATTTATACACATCAAGAAAGTACTTAATGTAAATTGCATCATGCTGTATCAGTTTTTAATAGTGTCAAGTATTTATACTAATTTTTGAATGATAGCTTAAATTTGTGATTTCGAATTTGTATCTAAACCAATATTATTTCTTTTGATAGATGTACAGGAACTTTCAAAGGCCTTGAACAAAGTCAGTACTGGAAAAGTGGATGTAGCTGATGTGCAACCTGTAGGGAAGGGCCTGAAGACTCATGCTTCTGAGGGAGAAGTACAGAAGATAGTTTCTTCCATTTCTGTTGATAGTAAGTATTGTCTTTTCAGTTAGTTATTGTACATAAATCTGTGTTTATTTTCACTTCTTGATTAGCAGGTAGAATGAGTGTCCTTTGTGAAGGTGAAAATTTGTTATAGGTTATAGTCATATTGAGGTCGAATGGAGGGATGATGGATGTCTGAATTGCCAACTTGATTGGTTTGAGAAACACGATATTAGATGGAGGCACATGATTAGGTAGACCTGTGAAGAGATAATAATAATAATGTTATAATAAACATTAATATTTTAAATACAATGATTTTTTTGTTGTCGGTTGTAGAGCTTGAACTCTGGGCTTGGGTGCTGTCCCTGCCCTCTTCAGCAAGGCGAGTGTTCTACCACTTGAGCCACTGCACCACTTTTGGTTTTCTAGTGGTTTGTGGAGATAAGAGTCCCACAGATGTTCCTGCATGAGCTGGATTTGAACCATGATCCTTAGATACCAACCTCCTGAGTAGCTAGGATTATAGGCATAAGACACTAGCATAGAGCCCCAGTGAATTTTTTAACCATTTTAGCATTCAAATTTTGAATAAACTATTAGGAGGCAATAGAACTGTGAAAGGTAGGACCTGGTTGGAGATTCTTGGTCCCTGGGACATATCTTTGGCAACTCTGTATTGCCAGTTTGCTTCTTATTGTGTGCCTCAATTTAAAGACCAGAATGCTGGCAGAATATGGGCAATTAGGGTGAGGCTCTTGAAGTTTTAGTTAGGAATGAGGGATTCTGTTGGGAGGTGGACTGTGGTTATTCATGTTGCATGCTGTGAAATAATTTACTGATACTTTGTACTTTGTGTTCTCAGAGTTGTAAAAGATTGGCTTTAAAGAGAATAGACTGGGTCTGGGGAGGTTGCTCAGTGGTAGACTGTTTGCCTTGCACACATGAGGCCCTGGGTTTGTTGGTCAGCACCACTTAAGAAGAAGCTGGAAGTGGCACTGTGGCTCAAGTGGTAGAGTGCTAGCCTTGAGCTGAAGAGCTCAGGGATAGCACCCAGGCCCAGCATTCAGGCCCCAGGACCTACAAAAAAAAAAGAGAGAGTGAGAGAGACTTTTGCATTTCAGTAGCTCATTGCTGTATTCCTAGCAACTCAGCAGGCTTAGATCTAAGGATTGCTGTTCAAATCCAGTCTGGGCAGGTAAGTCTGTGAAAATCTCATCTCCAATAAACCACCAGAAAAACGGAAGTGGCGCTGTAGCTCAAGTGGTAGAGCACTAGCCTTGAGCTGAATAGCTGAGGAACAGGTTCAGGCCCATAGTTCAAGCACCATGACCCCAAAAAAAAACCCAACAAAAAACCCCCAAAAACCTAAAACAAAAAACCTTTAGTTTCCAATCATTAGCCAAGATATATTCTTCCTGTTTGCCTTATAATTGATCTTCTATTTTATAAGCAACAGTGAAAGTATACATACATTCATACACATACACATATATAATTTATATACATCAAGCAAGTACTTAATATAAATTACATCATGGTGTATCATCTTTGAATTGGGTCAAGTGTTTATACTAATTTTTGAATGATAGCTTAAATTTGTTATTTAGAATTTGTATCTAAACCATTATTATTTCTTTTGATAGACGTACAGGAACTTTTAAAAGCCTTGAAGAAAGTCAGTACTGGAAAAGTGGACGTAGCTGATGTGCAACTTGTAGGGAAGGGCCTGAAGACTCATGCTTCTGAGGGAGAAGTACAGAAGATAGTTTCTTCCATTTCTCTTGATAGTAAGTATTGTCTTTTGAGTCAGTTATTGTACAGAAAGCCGTGTTTATTTTCACTTCTTGATTAGCAACTAGAATGAGTGTCCTTTGTGAAGCTGAGAATTTGTTATAGGTTATAGTCATATTGAGGTCCAATGGAGGGTTGATGGATGTCTGAATTGCCAACTTGATTGGTTTTAGAAATATGATATTAGATGGAGGCACATGACTAAGTGAGCCTATGAAGGGATAATAGTTTAAACGTTAATATTTTAAATCCAATAATTTTTTTGTTGTCAGTTGTGGAGTTGGAACTCTGGGCTAGGGTGCTGTCCCTGCCGTCTTCAGCAAGGCGAGTGCTCTACCACTTGAGCCACTGTACCACTTCTGGTTTTTTAGTGGTTTGTTGGAGATAAGAGTTCCACAGATGTTCCTGGGCATGCTGGATTTGAACCATGATCCTTAGATATCAGCCTCCTGTGTAGATAGGTTAATAGGCGTAATACAATGGCATAGAGCCCCAGTGAATTGTTTAACCCATTAAAGCCTTCAAATTTTGAATAGACTATAGGAGGCCATAGAACTGTGGAAGGTAGGAACTGGTTGGAGATTATTGGTTCCTGCTATATATACTTGGCCACTATGTCTTGCTGGTTCACTTCTTATTGCTGCTCCATGCTAATTATTGTGTGCCATGATTTAAAGACCAGAATGCAGACAGAATATGGGCAGTTAGGGTGAGGCTATTGAAGTTTTAGTTAGGAATGAGGGACTCTGTTGGGAGGTGGACTGTGGTTATTCATGTTGCATGCTGGGAAATAATTTACTGATACTTTGTGTTCTGAGACTTTGTAGAAGACTGGCTTTAAAGAGAATAGACTGGGTCTGGGTAGGTGGCTCCGTGGTAGACTGCTTGCCTTGCATGCATGAGTCCCTGGGTGTGATTGGTCAGTACCACATAAGAAAAAGCAGGAAGTGGCACTGTGGCTTAAGTGGAAGAGTGCTAGCCTTGAGCTGAAGAGCTCAGGGATAGCGCCCAGGCCCGGCATTCAGGCACTAGGACCTACAAAAAGAAAGAGAGAGAGAGAGATAGATCGAGCAGACTTCTGGATATCAGCAGCTCACTCCTGTAATCCTAGCTCCTCAGCAGGCTGAGATCTGAGCATTGTGGTTCAAATCCAGCCGAGCAGGAAAGTTTATGATACTGTTATCTCCATTAAAACACCAGAAAAACGGATGTGGCACTGTAGCTCAAGTGGTAGAGCGCTAGCCTTGAGCTGAAGAGCTGAGGAACAGAGTTCAGGTCCAGAGTTCAAGCACCATGCCCCCCCAAAAAAACAACAAAAAAACCTCAAAAAACAAAAAATCTTTAATTTCCAATTATTGGTCAAGATATATTCTTCCTGTTTGCTTTATAATTGATCTTCTATTTTATAAGCAACAGTGAAAATATACATACATTCATACACATACTCATATATAATTTATTTATATACATCAAGAAAGTACTTAATGTAAATTGCATCATGTTGTATCATCTTTTATTCATGTCAAGTATTTATACTATTTTTGAATAATTGATTAAATTTGTTAGTTAGAATTTGTATCTAAACTAAAATTTTTTCTTTTGATAGATGTACAAGAACTTTCAAAGGCCTTGAACAAAGTCAGTACTGGAAAAGTGGATGTAGCTGATGTTCAACCTGTAGGGAAGGGTCTGAAGACTCATGCTTCTGAGGGAGAAGTACAGAAGATAGTTTCTTCCATTTCTGTTGATAGTAAGTATTGTCTTTTAAGTCAGTTATTGTACAGAAAGCCGTGTTTATTTTCACTTCTTGATTAGTACCTAGAAGGAGAGTCCTTTGTGAAGCTGAGAATTTGTTATAGGTTATAGGCATATTGAGGTCCAATAGAGGGATGATGGATATCTGAATTGCCAACTTGGTTGGTTTGAGAAACACTTATGATATTAGATGGAGGCACATGACTAGATGAGGCTGTGAAGTGATAATTGTTTAAACATTAATATTTTAAATCCAATGATGTTTTTGTTGTCCATTGTGGAGCTAGAACTCTGGGCTTGGGTGCTGTCCCTGCCCTCTTCAGCAAGGGGAGTGCTCTACCACTTGAGCCACTGCACCACTTCTGGTATTCTAGTGGTTTTTTGGAGATAAGAGTCCAACAGATGTTCCTGAGTGGGCTGGATTTGAGCCATGATCTGTAGATATCAGCTTTCTGAGTAGCTAGGTTTATAGGCGTAAGACACTGTCATAGAGCCCCAGTGAATTGTTCAAATTTTGAATAGAGTACAGGAGCCCATAGAACTGTGGAAGATAGGAACTGGTTGGAGATTATTGGTTCCTGCTACATATACTTGGCCACTATGTCTTTCCAGTTAGCTTCTTATTGCTGCTCCATGCTAATTATTGTGTGCCAGGATATAAAGGCCAGAATGCAGGCACAATATGGGCTGTTAGGGTGAGGCTCTTGAAGTTTTAGTTAGCAGTGAGGGACTCTGTTGGGAGGTGGGTTGTGGTTATTCATGTTGCATGCTGGGAAATAATTTACTGATACTTTGTGTTCTGAGACTTTGTAGAAGACTGGCTTTAAAGAAAATACACTGGGGCTGGGAAGGTGGCTCAGTGGTAGACTGCTTGCTTTGCATGCATGAGGCCCTGGGTTTGATTGGTCAATACCACATTAGAAAACGCTGGAAGTGGCACTGTGACTCAAGTGGAAGAGTACTAGCCTTGAGCTGAAGAGCTCAGGGATAGCACCTAGGCCCAGCTTTCAGGCCGCAGGACATACCTAAAAAAAAAAAGAAAGAGAGAGATAAAGAGAGAGAGAGTAGACTTCTGGATGTCAGCAGCTCACTCCTATAATCCTAGCTCCTCAGAGGGCTCAGATCTGAGGATTGTGGTTCAAATCCAGCAGGGGTAGGCAGGTCTATGATACTCTTATCTCCATTAAACCACCAGAAAAATGGAAGTGGCTCTGTAGCTGAAGTGGTACAGCTCTAGCCTTGAGCTGAAGAGCTGAGGTACAGAGTTCAGGTCCAGAATTCAAGCCCCATGACCAACAAAAAACAAAAACAAAAAACCCCAAAGAACAAAAAAACAAAACACCTTTAATTTCCAATTTTTAGCCAAGATATATTCTTCCTTTTTGCCTTATAATTGATCTTCTATTTTATATGCAACAGTGAAAGTATACATACATTCATATACATACACATATGTAATTTATTTATATACATCAAGAAAGTACTTAATGAAAATTGCATCATGCTTTATCATTTTTTAATAGTATCTAGTATTTATACTAATTGTTGAATGATAGCTTAAATTTATGATTTAGAGTTTGTATCTAAACCAATATTTTTTCTTTTGATAGATGTACAGGAACTTTCAAAGGCCTTGAACAAAGTCAGTACTGGAAAAGTGGATGTAGCTGATGTGCCACCTGTACGGAAGAGCCTGAAGACTCATGCTTCTGAGGGAGAAATACAGAAGAGAGTTTCTTCCATTTCTGTTGATAGTAAGTTTTTTCTTTTGAGTCACTTATTGTACAGAAAGCCGTGTTTATTTTCACTTGTTGATTAGCTACTAGAATGAGTGTCCTTTGTGAAGCTGAGAATTTGTTATAGGTTATAGTCATATTGAGGTCCAATCGAGGGATGATGGATGTCTGAATTGCCAACTTGATTGGTTTGCGGAACACAATATTAGATGGATGCACATGATTATGTGGGCTTGTGAAGGAATAATAATAACAATATAATAATTAACTTTAATATTTTAAATCCAATGTTTTTTTTGTTGTCCGTTGTGGAGCTTGAACTCTGGCCTTGGGTACTGTCCCTGCCCTCTTCACAGAGGCCAGTTCTCTACCACTTGAGGCTCTGCACTACTTTTGGTTTTGTAGTAGTTTGTTGGAGATAAGAGTCCCACAGATGTTCCTGAGTGGGCTGGATTTGAACAATGATCCTTAGATATCAGCCTCCTGAGTAGCTAGGTTGATAGGCATAAGACACTGGCATAGAGCCCCAGTGAATTGTTTAAGCAATTGAAGCATTGAAATTTTGAGTAGACTATTGGAGGCCATAGAACAGTGGAAGTTAGGACCTCATTGGAGATTCTTGGTCCCTGGGACATATTCTTGGCAACTATGTCTTGCCGGTTCGCTTCTTATTGGTGCTCCATGCTAATAATTGTGTGCCTCGACTTCAAGACCAGAATGCTGGCAGAATATGGGCACTTAGGGTGACACTCTCGAAATTTTAGTTAGGAATGAGGGATTTTGTTGCGAGATGGACTGTGGTTATTCATGTTACATCCTGGGAAATAATTTACTGATACTTTGTGTTCTGAGACTTTGTAGAAGACTGGCTTTAAAGAGAATAGACTGGGGCTGGGAAGGTGGCTCAGTGGTAGACTGCTTGCCTTGCATGCATGAGGTCCTGTGTTTGATTCTTCAGTACCACATAAGAAAAAGCGGGAAGTGGCACTGTGGCTCAAGTGGTAGTGTGCTCGCCTTGAGCTGAAGATAGCGCCTTTGCCAAGCATTCAGGCCCCAGGACCTCCAAAAAAAAAAAAAAAGAAAGAGATAGAGTAGTCTTCTGGATGTCAGCAGCTCACTCCTGTAATCCTAACTACACAGCAGGCTGACATCTGAGGATTGGGGTTCAAATCTAGCCCAGGCAGGAAAGTCTGTGAAACTCTTATCGCCAATAAACCACCAGAGAAATGGAAGTGGCGCTGTAGCTCAAGTGGTAGAGCAGTAGCCTTGACCTGAAGAGCTGAGAAACCACTTTCAGGTCTAGAGTTCAAGCCCCATGACCAACAGAAACCAACAAAAGAAATCGGCCAAAAAACAAAAAAAAAACCTTTAATTTCCAATTATTAGCCAAGATATATCTTTCTGTTTGCCTTATAATTGATCTTCTATTTTATATGCAACAGTGTAAGTATACATACATTCATACACATACACACATATAAGTTATTTATATACATCAAGAAAGTACTTAATGTAAATTGCATCATGCTGTATCATCTTTCAATAGTGTCAAGTATTTAAATTAATTTTTGAATGATAGCTTAAATTTGTGATTTAGAATTTGTATCTAAACCATAATTTTTTCTTTTGATAGAAGTACAGGAACTTTCAAAGGCCTTGAATAAAGTCAGTACTGGAAAAGTGGATGTAGGTGATGTGCAACCTGTACAGAAAGGCCTGAAGGCTCATGCTTCTGAGGGAGAAGTACAGAAGATAGTTTCTTCCATTTCTCTTGATAGTAAGTATTGTCTTTTGAGTCAGTTATTGTACATAAATCTGTGTTTATTTTCCCTTCTTGATTCACAACTAGATTGAGTGTCCTTTGTTAAGCTGAGAATTTGTTATAGGTTATAGTCTTATTGAGGTACAATGGAGGGATGATGGATGTCTGAATTGCCAACTTGATTGGTTTGAGAAACATGATATTAGATGGAGGCACATGACTAGGTGAGCCTGTAAAGGGATAATAGTTTAAACATTAATATTTTAAATCCAATGATTTTTTCATTGTCTGTTGTGGAGCTGGAACTCTGGGCTGGGTGCTGTCCCTGCCCTCTTCAGCAAGGCGAGTGTTCTACCACTTGAGCCACTGCACCACTTCTGGTTTTCTAGTGGTTTGTTGGAGATAAGAGTTCCACAGATGTTCGTGAGGGGGCTGGATTTGAACCATGATGGTTAGATATCAACCTCCTGAGTAGCTAGGTTTATAGGCATAAGACACTGGCATAGAGCCCCAGTGAATTGTTTAACCCATTGAAGCATTCAAATTTTGAATAGACTATACTAGGCCATAGAGCTGTAAAAGGTAGGACCTGGTTGGAGATTATTGGTCCCTGAGACATATCCTCGGTAACTACGTCTTGTCGGTTCGCTTCTTATTGCTGCTCCATGCTAATTATTGTGTGCTAGGATGTAAAGACCAGAATGCTGGCAGAATATGGGTAGTTAGTTTGAGGCTCTTGAAGTCTTAGTTAGCAATGAGAGACTCTGTTGGGAGGTGGACTGTAGTTATTCATGTTGCACGCTGGGAAATAATTTACTGATACTTTGTGTTCTGAGACTTTGTAGAAGACTGGCTTTAAAGAGAATTGACTGGGGCTGGCAAGGTGGCTCCGTGGTAGACTGCTTGCCTTGCATGCATGAGGCCCTGGGTTTTATTGTTCAATACCACATAAGAAAAAGCAGGAAATCGCAATATGTCTTAAGTGGAAGAATGCTAGCCTTGAGCTGAAGAGCTTAGGGATAGCTCCCAGGCTCAGCATTCAGACCCAAAGACCCACAAAAAAAAAACAAAGAGAGAGAGAGAGAGAGAGAGAGTAGACTTCTGCATTTCAACAGCTCACTCCTATAATCCTGGCTACTCAGCAGGCTGAGATTTGAGAACTCTGGTTCAAATCCAGCCGGGCAGGAAGTCTATGATACTCTAATCTCCAAGAAACCACCAGAAAAACGGAAGTGGCTCTGTAGCTCAAGTGATAGAGCTCTAGCCTTGAATTGAAGAGCTGAGGAACAGCATTCAAGTCCAGAGTTCAAGCCTCATGAGCAACAAAAAACAAAAAAAAACACCAAAAATCAAAAAGACAAAAAACCTTTAATTTTAAATTATTAGCCAAGATCTATTCTTCCTGTTTGCCTTAAAATTGATCTCCTATTTTACAAGCAACAGTGAAAGGATACATACATTCATACACATACACATATATAATTTATTTATATACATCAAGAAAGTACTTAATGTAAATTGCATCATGCTGTATCATCTTGTAATAGTGTCAAGTATTTATACTAATTTTGAATGAGAGCTTAGATTTGTTATTTGGAAATTGTATCTAAACCAAAATTTTTCTTTATAGATGTACAGGAACTTTCAAAGGCCTTGGACAAAGTAAGTACTGGAAAAGTGGAGGTAGTTGATGTACAACCTGTACGGAAGAGCCTGAAGACTCATGCTTCTGAGGGAGAAGTACAGAAGATAGTTTCTTCCATTTCTCTTGATAGTAAGCATTGTCTTTTGAGTCAGTTATTGTACATAAATCTGTGTTTATTTTCACTTCTTGATTAGCAACTAGAATGAGTGTCCTTTGTGAAGCTGTGAATTTGTTATAGGTTATAGTCATATTGAGGTCCAATGGAGGGTTGATGGATGTCTGAATTGCCAACTTGATTGGTTTGAGAAACATGATATTAGATGGAGGCACATGACTAGGTGAGCCTGTGAAGGGATAATAGTTTTAACGTTAATATTTTAAATCCAATGTTTTTTTTTGTTGTCGGTATTGGAGCTTGAAATCTGGGCTTGGGTGCTGTCCCTCCCGTCTTCAGCAAGGGGAGTGCTCTATCACTTGAGCCACTGCACCACTTCTGGTTTTCTAGTGGTTTGTGGAGACAAGAGTTCCACAGATATTACTTCGTGAGCTGGGTTTGACCCTGTATCCTTAGATATAAGCCTCTGAGTAGCTAGATTTATAGTTATAAGACACTGGCATAGAGCCCCAGTGAATTGTTTAACCCATTGAAGCCTTCAAATTTTGAATATACTATAGGAGGCCGTGGAACTGTGAAAGGTAGGACCTGGTTGGAGATTATTGGTCCCTGGGACATATCCTTGGCAACTATGTCTTGCTGGTTCACTTCTTATTGCTGCTTCATGCTAATTATTGTGTGCCAGGATGTAAAGACCAAAAGGCTGACAGATTATGGTCAGTTAGGGTGAGGCTCTTGAAGTTTTACTTAGGAATGAGGGACTCTGATGGGAGGTGGGCTGTGGTTATTCATGTTGCATGCTGGGAAATAATTTACTGATACTTTGTGTTCTGAGAGTTTGTAGAAGACTGGCTTTAAAGAGAATAGACTGGGGCTGGGAAGGTGGCTCCGTGGTAGACTGCTTGCCTTGTATGCATGAGGCCCTGGGTTTGATTGGTCAGTACCACATAAGATAAAGCAGGAAGTGGCACTGTGGCTCAAGTGGAAGAGTGCTAGCCTTGAGCTGAAGAGCTCAGGGTTAGTGCCCAGGACGAGCATTCAGGCACCAGGACATACAAAACAAAATAGAAGGAGAGAGAGAAAGAGAGAGAGAGTAGTCTTCTGGATGTCAGCAGCACACCTATAATCCTATCTCCTCAGCAGGCTGAGATCTGAGGATTATGGTTCAAATCCAGCTCTGGCAGGAAAGTCTATGATACTCTTCTCTCCATTAAACCACCAGAGAAATGGAAGTGGCTCTGTAGCTGAAGTGGTAGAGTGCTAGACTTGAGCTGAAGAGCTGAGTAACAGCGTTCAGGTCCAGAGTTCAAGATCCATGACCGACATAAAACAACAAAAAAATCCCCAAAAAACAAAAAAGCCAATAATTTCTAATTATTAGCCAAGATATATTCTTCCTGTTTACCTTATAATTGATCTTCTATTTTAAGCAATAGTGAAAGTATACATACATTCATATACATACACTTATGTAATTTATTTATATACATCACGAAAGTACTTAATGTAAATTGCATCATACTGTATCATCTTTTAATAGTGTCAAGTATTTATACTAATTTTTGAATGATACCTTAAATTTGTGATTTCGAATTTGTATCTAAACCAATATTATTTCTTTGATAGATGTACAGGAACTTTCAAAGGCCTTGAACAAAGTCAGTACTGGAAAAGTGGATGTAGCTGATGTTCAACCTGTACGGAAAGGTCTGAAGACTCATGCTTCTGAGGGAGAAGTACAGAAGATAGTTTCTTCCATTTCTGTTGATAGTAAGTATTGTCTTTTGAGTCAGTTATTGTACATAAATCTGTGTTTATTTTCCCTTCTTGATTCATAACTAGATTGAGTGTCCTTTGTGAAGCTGAGAATTTGTTATAGGTTATAGTCATATTGAGGTCCAAAGGAGGGATGATGGATGTCTGAAGTGCCAACTTGATTGGTTTGAGAAACATGATATTAGATGGAGGCACATGGCTAGGTGAGCCTGTGAAGGGATAATAGTTTAAACATTAATATTTTAAATCCAATGAAGTTTTTTTTGTCCATTGTGGAGCTTGAACTCTGGGCTTCGGTGCTGTCCCTGCCCACTTCAGCAAGGCAGGTGCTCTACGACTTGAGCCACTGCACCACTTTTGGTTTTCTAGTGGTTTGTTGGAGATAAGAGTTCCACAGATGCAGAAAAGGTCAGATAATGTGATGTCAGGAAACTGAACCCTTAGATATGTATTTTAATGGTCTTTTTCTTTTATGCATGCATTTCTAATGCATTTATAAGATTATCTCTTTGTTGCTTTGTATGTCCCTCCCTCACAGTATAACCCCTGCTTTCACTATATTTGATGTCAGTATAACTTGTGGAGGAGATGGGGAAAAAACCAGTTGTTTAAGGATACAGGTGGACCT